TCCATCACACTTTCTGACAGCTGTGAAATGCAGAAACACAAATCTTTTTTTTTTTCTTTTTTCTTTTCTTTTTAAACAGGTCCTTATGGCCGTGGCTCCATTTCCATTCGGGGGAAGAAACACAGATCTTCACCTCAAATTATTAAAAGATATAAGCATCCGGCCGTGCCTGCCTAGTGCCTGAATGGTTCTGAAATTCAGAAAGAGACCAATCAAGAAAACACAAACAAACAAACAAAAAGATCGAAATTCAGAAGAGAACATGAGGAAAAAAAAGCCAAAGAGAAGTGGCATACGCTCATTGTTTCCGCACACCTTGACTTGAGCAACGAAGCTCGAGAGTTGGACTGTGGGCAAGGTGTGAGGAGAGACTACTGTGCAAGACAGGACTGAGTGGAACTTACACTCTGGGTGAGGTGTGAGAAGAGGCAATTGTGAAAATACGAGACCCTGGTGTGCATCCTACTGTGCTTTTGTGGTTGGCTTCCTGTGACACATACGCCCTTGCCTAACAAGTGTTCCCTCTGCGCTCAAGTTTCCTCTCTGCCACCTATAAGTAGCAGGTTCTGCCACCTATAGTAGGCTCAAGTTTCCCCTCTGCCACTTATAGGTAGCAGGCTTTGCCACCTATAGGCTCAAGTTTTCCCTCTGCTAGCTGTAGGAGGTTGCAGGCTCTGCCACCTATAGGCTCAAGCTTTCCCTCTGCCACCTATGCGTAGCAGGCTTTGGCACCCATAGGCTCAAGTTTCCCCTCTGCTACCTATAGGAGGTTGCAGGGTCTGCCACCTATAGGCTCAATTCTCACCTCTGCCACCTATAGGTACCAGGGTCTATTACCCATAGGTAGCAGGCTTTGCCACCTATAGTAGGCTCAAGTTTCCCCTCTGCCACCTATAGGTAGCAGGCTTTGCCACCTATAGTAGGCTCAAGTTTCCCGTCTGCCACCTATAGGTAGCAGGCTTTGCCACCTATCCCCTCTGCTACCTATAGGAGGTTGCAGGCTCTGCCACCTATAGGCTCAAGCTTCCCCTCTGCCGCCTATGGGTAACAGGCTTTGCCACCTATCCCCTCAGCTACGATAGGAGGTTGCAGGCTCTGCCACCTATAGGCTCAAGCGTCCCCTCTGCCGCCTATAGGTAGCAGGCTCTGCCATCTACAGGCTCAAGCTTCCCCTCTGCCACCTACAGGTAGCAGGCTCTGCCCTATAGGCTCAAGTTTCCCCTCTGCTACCTATCGGAGGTTGCAGCCTCTGCCACTTTCAGGTAGCAGTACACCAGTCGTTAATTTCCCCCCACTGAGCGTAACGGTGATGTTAAACGAGGTCCCCCTCGCTTGTCCTTTCTCCCTTTCTGCCTGCGGTTCACCGGGCATTTCTCAATGACGATTTATATATATATCGTCACAAACAGAACTGCCCGGTAAACCGTAGGCAGAGAGAGAGAAAAGGACAACAAACGAGGGCCTGTGACAAACTGTTTCGTCGGAGTTTCACCGACTCATCAGGAGGCTGAACCCTCAACAGTCTGCAGAATCCCCTCACTGATTACACTGTAAATGATAATCTACCTTAACCAAAATCAAAGTAGACTATCACTCACCCACACCAGATGGAAAACTCTACAGACTGTCGGTTCACACCCCATCACAATATATATAGGTATACATCTATCGTATATGTATTGTCACACATATATATCAACTACCGTCTTCCCCCCATCATAACGCCCCATAAAAATGAATGTATACAAGCCATCTTTACGGTATGGTACAGCCATAATCAGGGCGCGTTGCGTTCGGGGGAAGAGGGTAAACATACATACCATGCATGCCCCTGAAAACGCTCACGATTGGTTAGGGTGAGATGATTGACAAGATCAAGCATGAAGCCAGGAAGGCAAACCGGCCCACTGGAAATGAACGTATACAAGCTATCTTTCCGGTGCGGTACAGCCATAATCAGGGTGCGTTGTGTTCCGGTGGAAGACAATAAACATACATACCACGCATGCCCCTGAAACCGCTCACGCATTGGTTGGCGTGAGACGATTGACAGCGTCAAGCAGGACGGCAGGAAGGCAGGAAGGCAAGCCGGCCAATCACAGGCAAGGGAGAGAGAAGTTGAAGGTTCACTTTAACTTCACTAGCTCAAGAGGAGACCACGTATATCTTCTCATCATCTTATCATCATTGGTGCCAAACTGGCCACTCTAAGGGCATACTCACACTAGGACTTTTTTGTCATTTCTGGACGAGATTACGGTCAGATACATTCAGGTCTGGTCGTAAATGCGGTCAGATACATTTGAGATAGAGCTAGTGTGAGTATGCCCCAAAACTAGGTCCACGTGTCGAGGTTGGGTTTGACAGTGATGAGAGGGATGGTTTGATATGATAGCCAGGTAGGTGCTTTTTTGCTCTGGCAAGGTTTGCCAGAGCCACTGGTGTGTTCGGTACGGCACTTGCCGAGCAGCTAGTGAGACCCTGATGCAGGATATGAGCCCAGGGAGAGTATGGGCCTTTGGTACTTCGTTAACCATTTTTGTGTGTATTTGCGTGGATATATATTGTCACATGAATATCAGAGCGCAAAAGAGAAAAAAACAAAAGGAAACAAAAAAGATATCAATTCATTTTTAATCTTCTTCCTTACAACTCCCCCTGTTGAGAACCTCTTGCGTACAAGGCCGCCCACGTGGATGTAGGTTGAGCGACGGCTGCCCCCACCCCCGTGTGTCATATCGACCCACTTGCACACAGCCAAAAGGCAAAGAGGCAAAGAAGAGAGGAAGGGAACAGCCAAATAAAACAGAACAGGGGGCAACAAAACAGATCCCAGATGACAAGTCCCACATGCAAGCACCGCCCCTGCCCACAGGCCAAACGACGGGACAAGACCAACCAGGATGTCAAAACATTCTTGTCTGCAAAGAAATCAAAAGAAGTACCAAAAAGAACCCATCCCGTATGACGATTCCCACATACAAGCACCGCCCCGCGCTCAAAAGGCCGAACAACGGGAAACAACCAACCAGGATGCCAAGACAATAAAAAAAACCGGATGACTGGTCCCACATGAAGCACCGCGACCGAATAATGGGACAAAACCAACCGGGATGCAACTGGGATGCAGACAAGATTACGAAAACAAATTCTACCATATCCATAGTTTAAAAAACGGAACCATACAGTAGGTCCGCAAAACGGAATACCCCCTAAAATGGGGAAGAGCAACACAAGAAAATGGGGAAGAGCAACACAAGAAAATGTGGGATGGCAGGACGATGATTCAGGCTATTTTCAACATAAATGAATTCTTGGGTGCACTGACAAGAAAATCAGGAAAATATTTTCTACCATAACCAAAGAAGAGCCTGCTAGTACAGGCCCGACGCTATATTGTCACATGAATATCAGAGCACAAAAGCGAAAAAAAAAAGAGAAAACAAGAAAAAATGAATTCGTTTTTTTGTATTCTTCCTTACAACTCCCCCTGTTCAGAACCTCTTGCGTACAAGGCCGCCAACCTTCATATGGGTTATCTGTGTCATTCGGAAGTAGGGGTGCCGGTCGTGGGGTACCGGGTGTACTATAAGTAGCTGAGGGGAGATGGGGGTAGGCGCCCAGCGTAAGGGGGTGTGTCAGATGTACTATAGTTAGAGTCTGTTAGACAGGTTTACCGTTCCGGAATGTACAGGGAAGTAAGCAGAGTCTAGGCAGATGACGTGGCCCGTGGAAGTTAGGTACATGTAGTAGCCGTTGGGCTTGTGTCAAGGGAGGCTACCGGGTGTCTAAAACCCGGTAACACGGCTGGGCCTGTATAAGACCTGGCATGTATCGCGCACAATATGGCAATATGCAGGGCAGATGACAGGAAAAACGGGGCACGGCCATATGTGCCTACATCGCAGGATGGAGATGGAGGACTGTCTATGCTTACCAGTACACGTGGAGGGAACGGGGTGAATAGCACGCAGAAGGTGCACACGTGAGGAAGCAAAGACGGGACTGGCTAGTGGGCATATACTGTTCTGTGACACCCTGCCACAGCGGAAGGTCCCAGTCAGTTACGCACGCGTCAGCTGGATGCGTGAGAAGCATATCTTACTGAGGGCAAGGCCTGAACGGCCATCTTTCTCGGGTGGATGGTGAGGTGGATGCGGGAGTGCGGTTTGCCCCTTGAGAAGTCCTGGAGCGCAGCCAGGTGAAAGGCGTTGGGGAATGTGCGCATTTGCGAGCTTTTTTTTTTTTTTTTTTTTTTTTTTTTGATGGTCCGATGGACCACGGATCAGATATTAAACTGATCAGATAACAAGATACTACACTTGAGCTTAGCCAAAAGGTCGAGAAAGGTATTGCGAGCTTGTTATGTCTGTGCAGGCGCTGTGAAGATCTTTTCACAGCGCCTGCACAGACATAACAAGCTCGCAATACCTTTCTCGGCCTTTTGGCTAAGATCAAGTGTAGCTCTTTTTGAAGCATAGACGCTGAGCGATTGGCCTCGCTTTTTCAAAATTTTCAAAATTTGAAATTCAACTTTTTTTTTTTTTAGGCGACAGTCTTACCTATCTGACTTTTGGTTAAATTTGAAATATTTTTCTCGCGGTACGAAATTGAACACGGATTTTTTGTTGTTG